GAAGGCAGAAAGAGATCTACGCCTGGCACGGACTAGCTTCACCGATCAGATAGAGGCTCAGGCCAAGGCTCTCTGTCGCCCTTTTTGCGAAGCTGTCCATCAACGACTACCGCAGGAACTACGCGACATCGTTGCTGGGCATCTTTTGACCGAAAGCTCCGTCACTTTCCTCTCCAGTAAAGATGGCAAGATCTCTTTTGTCAACGGCCTTTCGACACTACGACACGCTTTCGAAGAGCAATACACTGGTATCGGACTGCACATGGACATCATAAATGAGCTGATAAAGCAAGGCGCCCGTTTCGACTTTCGCGCTCGACACGAGCTACTGGGCAAGGTCTTCGAGCACTACAAAGTCGACGAGCGCGGTGGCCTCGATCTTACTTCCAAGATAAGAAGATTAGGTCTGGTGGTGACAGAGCATCATCTGGAACACCGTGAGGTCGTTTTAACTCGCCTCGAGGAGCTGTGCAGACTCAGCAAAGGCGCCAAAATCTTCATAATCATCGGAACGGGTCACGGTACAAAGGCTCAAACCCTCCGGAAAGTGCGACGCGTTTTGCGTGTTATCTTCAAGCTGCTCAGACGCCTTCACGAGCTTGGTGTCCACATTTTTGTCATCGTTAATCCGGCTTATTCCGCTTCACAGGTCAAGAACGATAGCGGTGACAACTTCTCGGTCATGCAGGAAGGTCCCTGGAGCTGGAGGTACGTCATGACGCCACGTAATGCTACATTCACGGTTGAAGGCTTTGAGGGGCGTCTTAGATATCTCTTTGGATTATACGGGGAGCACTGGGATTCACGATTACCGCCTTAGGATGGGTGAGTTGAGAGGCTTCAGGCCATCATGATGGGGTGTGTACGATCGTTACAGAGATCTACGCAGTCAGTAGAATGGTTTTGTATCGCGCCTGTGTATTCGTATACGATAGCGTGGAGCAAGTTCATCTCTTCTATGTTGTGACCCGTGATCACATTAAGACAATGTATTTCAAATGCTACCGTTTGTTGTTGGATCTCTCACAACAGGTCGACACGGTACATGCCTCGCGCTTTAATAACAACCTAATGCCTTGCCAGCTACACAATCGTCGTCGTCACTGGTTTCATCTCTTTGCCGAGTTCGTCGACTAAACTAGCCGATGTACTACGCATTGATCACGTATTGGGAGACCGTGTGGGAAACTACATCAAAGACCTATACACCATTCCATCGATTAACAGGACATCCGTCAATTGGAAGTGAATGATGCCACCGTTTGCCATGTCGTCATGAGTTTCTCGTGCTACTAACTGATAATTTGCTCACCCACAATACTTCTTCACCTCGACTGCCAAGGCTCTTCACGCACAGACTGCCACCAGATGATCTACCATCCAAGTCAGGCCTTGCGCAGGTATCATTACGGGCGCCATTGAAATATTGGCGGGCATATTTGCAAACACGGACAGCGATTACACAATGACGAGTGACAAAGACAAGCGGATTGATGTGATGCAGCCAGCGACTGGGGCCAGCGCCAACAACACTGACGAAGTTTGTGCGTTTCGCACTGCCACCTGTCATCAAATCTGGAAACAACACTGACGGTTTGCACACCAGACATGTCGATCGCGCCCACCATCGCGGGAGGTGACCGCGTTAGCGAGCGCGCGCCTGCCGAAGACACTGCGGCGAATTGCGACGACGGAGATGAGACGAAGACTTCACTGGCAGCATCGAACGTACCTTTGAGCCCAGAGGAACTACAAATTCTCCTGACATATTCAACACTGCTGGCGTTGACGCGACATCCTTCGCGGCCAGTAGTTGACCTGGATATTCCAGCTCAAGTTCGACAGCTCGACGCCTTCCTAGCTGGAGATATCACCGAAGACGGCGTCGCGACACACTGGTCCGCCAAAAGTAATGGTTCCGAGCGGCTTCGGCAATACCAGAACTTGTGCGACCAGCTCGTCCCGTCCTTGGCTGCGGCGATCAAGAAGCAGTCGCAGGCGAACCTAAACGCCGAGCCCAAGAACCGCGTGCATGGCGACATAAATCCAGAACACGAATCGCTATCGCAGCTCTTCTTGAGTAAGGACTTGGTGACCTTGTATGGTGCGTTGGTGGAGAAGGCCAGGAAGAAGGGTCTCGACCCCGATGTCGACCCTTGGACGCACCCGACGAAGTTCGATAAGATGAAAGCCTTCTTCGAATCGATATACGTGCTCCAATACGACTTCGATAACTGGCAGCACAAGCGACCCAAGCCGATCTTCAATCAGACGGCTCGTCTAGATGCGGAGGAATTCATACGCGTGATGAACAAGCGCGATTGTATTCGGGTACACCATCGTGTCACCACCCCGCTGGGGAAGGTCCTCGCTCAGCTGGACATTATTCCAGAAATCGCCATCAAGTATACTGAGCAGGAACTGACTCGTATGTGGCGCGACAAAACTCGTCCCAAGTATCTTGTTCCCGACCCCGCTGCCGTCACCATCCCGAACAAGCAGAGAGACACGTCTTGGGTGACATCGGATGATGGAGAGACCTGGACGCGCGACGAGACGACCTGGACGCCTACCTTCAAGTTCATGGTCTTCGACACAGCCACACATGCGTACATTCACCAACACCTCGTCGACCTCGACCACCTTGACCAAATCGATCTCAACGATGACACGTCGGTTTTGAAGTACCGAAAGAAGCTCTCTCAATGGCGCAATCGTGACACTGGCGAGACAACCAAGGCCCGCGACCCCTGGACCGACGATGAGCGCGCTATTGTGTACGAGTGGGTGAATGCTTGGGTCAAGAAGAACGGCGTGGACAAGCTACTACCTCGGGTGATGGAGAGTGGGAGGGAGGATCTTCAGGCTACCCTTGTGGCAAAGACAGGGTTTCTGCGTTCAGTTGACTCGGTCAGTGGTTGGGCGAGACAGCAGATCACCAATAAACCCAGCGAGCCCCTGGGTATGCTATATATTGAGGGTCAGAAGCTGGCTGCGCGTATTGAAGCTGGTGAAAACGTCCCAGACGACGAGCGCTACCCTGACGAAGCTATCGACATCGCCGACTTCTTGGCAAAAGCGAACCCGCAGACATCGTCGAAACACAACAAATCCGGCAAGAAGCGTAAGCTTGATTCCGACGACGACACTTCCATCGACTCCGGCTCTGACGAAGACGACGATGACGACGATTTGCTGCCCTCTTCCCCGCGCCAGTCTGACAAACGTCCCAGGCTCAGTGCCAAAGGCAGGATGCAACTTGGACGAGACGCGTATCTGACCAAAGCCGAGATGGATGCTCGTGATGAAGCATATGCTACCAAGGGAGTTGATGAGACGGTTGAAGAAGATGAGGACATCAACCGCGAAGTTGACATGATCTTTGAGTTTGGCGATGATGATGAGGAAGGAGTAGTTGGGGAGGATGACTAGAACTTGTTCTTTTGTTAGAGGCGGAATGGGATAAGAAGGGTCCTCTGGCTAAGAATCATGGGGTCTAATGAAGACAATGGTATGAGAACGATCACGCGCGCACACATGCTTGAGCTTCTGTACCAGTCACAACGTCGTTTTTGTGGTATCTGTTACATAGCAAAGGAGAAGGATGAGCTTCAACAAGCTAGTAAGACAAACGATGTTGCTACTCGACCAACACTGGTCATTCGATGCGATCGTACTTTGCTGCTATTGTGTTGAACAATGCAGCACCCCATCTTCGTCCCACGCTATCAAATCTTCCGACGATCAATAACAGTTTGTTTCTCGTGACGTAGCGTAACAAGCAGCTCCATCACCGGAACACTGTGCCGAGGCAGTATGTAAGTACCAGAAGATATCAAGACGGCCACTGCACTTGCCTGTGAGCGGCATGGACGTATCCAGCCATTTTCGACGTAACAGATGTTACCCTCTTGCTGACAGACCTGCGCAACATTTAGACATGTCATCAAGCTTGCTCTCGAAACCACTACTTACACCCTTATGAGGCGGGTCGTACCGGTCTATAGGCGTAGCCAGAATTGGTGTGAAGACCAGCGCCGTCGAGACGATAAAAGAAGCGACCGAGACTTGGAAACGCATGTTGACTGAGTGAGAATAGCAACGATTGATGTTGAAAATTCTGGGGATATGGTATCTGAAAGCACGAGGGCTTTTGCGCTTTTAAACTCCAGACTTGTGAGCTAGTTGAGGTGGATCAATTCACCATCGAGGTGATTTCCTATATTCGAACATGCAGATCAGCATGTCTCGCACGGTCAGATGAATTTTACACTCTTTGTACTAGAGCCGTCGCCCATATGCAGTGAAGTGCTTGCAACTTTCCAAGGCTGCACACATGGTCAAGACTGCCAAGCGTGCGTATAGAGTTGAGGTTTCAGATCCTGCGCATCTGTCCACAAAGTGATTTGGTAACAAGCCCTATTGTGGAACGATAGATCGAATGAAGAAACCTTCCTGAGTGAGAATAAGCTTCAGCTCTTGGCAGTTCATCGCCAAGATGTCTAAGCCGTCGCCAAGGTCGTAAGAACAGCATTACCAAGATCTTATTCAGCCGCCTCGTGTATCCCAACAACAGCGAAGCAAAGCCCATCCCGTCTATATCGAGTTGCGCTGACGCGACTCTCGCAAAAGGTCCTCCGGCATACGGGTTAGTAAGACCCTCGGTGGTCATGCTACAGTCACGAGAGCTACCCACCTAGGTACCCATTCGACTGCATTCGGAACATATCTACACGAAGTCTTGGGAGCGTCTAAACCCCGAAGATCTCGATCTAATAATATCAAGGTACACTCAAAGCACTTCATGACCAGGTGCTATCTTGGGCCATGGCATGTGTAATGTCCGCGGAACGAAGATCATGTATTCCTTCGAGACAAACATAAAAGACAAGAGGATCCCAGAGCATTACAGTCACGGCTTTTCCTCAATTCACATTCGACTTACTTACAATTCGATACTTTGATCTCGAGCATCCATCTCAACACCACTCTGTCTCAAAATGACTACAGCTCTCGGAGTCGTTGCCGACACAGTGAGCCTTTGGACTTTCGCTGCGGGCATATTTGGAGGGCAACAACGCGATAAGACAGTGGTCAGAGTCGCAGCAGCCTTGAATGGTGGAAGTGGCTACACTTCCGACGGTGATGGTGACGTTGGAGCCATTCGGTTGTACAGCGAATCCCAGCAGCTCATTGGCAATACGGCAGGTAACTATGTGGGCTCTGGGAATTATAAGGACTTCTCCATCAACCAGGCAGACAACAAGCAGGCTCCTTGTAAGCCAACCCTTGAGCGAGAAAGTGGCGTGAGCAAATGACTAAAGTACTTCTCAGACGTGCAAGTCGCCGCAGGCACTAATGCCATCTGTATTCCCTACGTTAGCACTACCTGGGCCGATGGGAACAAATATGCCTGGGTGGGTGATTTCGGCGCTGTTTGCGGCCTAGACTGGTACTATGGCAATCTCTATGTTAGTCCTAAGTACCCAAAAGACGCTACTCAATAACACGAATGCTAACTGTTTCCGATAGGTTGCAGCCAGCAAAGCGTAAGCATGCTTCACCTCTCATCCCATCTCGGCCGCTACCAAACTATACTGACCGTGTGTATAGGAAGCCTAGATGCACATGGATCGACTCGGACCATAACAGTGGCCTCAAAGCCGGCATGCTCTTCATACACTTCCCCAGCTTCCAAGATACTTCAGACCACGGAACCAATGCGCACGACTACTGCCACTTCCCCTCCTTCCGCGCGTACACCAACGCCAATGGCGGCGGCAACTCGATCTTCTCACGAGACACGCTTGATGCATCGGCGCAGAATGTCAAACGTGCTGTTGACAGCCGCATCGTTGTGACCGCAGATCCAGGCCATAACGCGACTGAGCTATGCGCGAGTGGAACTTCTAGGGGACCAGATCTCGTCTCGCTATACGAGAACGTGTACTGCGATATGGACACGCGCCGCACACTTCCGGTCTGCGGAGACGGTATCGTTACGGATTGCTTCGACGTTGAAACCAAACAAGAGCTTATGCGGAGTGGGAAGAGGAGCCAGAAGGAATTCTCGGATGTGATCACGTGGGATTGAAATCTCGGCGCGGGCTAAAGCTTGGTCTCGATGGGGGCCTTCGAAGTGTGTATGCGTTTTTTGTTCGAGACTAACTCTCCGTCATTCATTTATGTTTCGTCCAGTCCTTGGGTCGGTCGTTATATATGCGCGATCTGGTAGCACGATCCTAAGGTTGTACTTAGGTAGTTAGAGGGCTATAATCTGCTTGCTTGGGAACCTTCACCGTCCGATTGGTCATTGCTGTTCCTTGTTCCTAGTGTCGTCTCCATGCTTTAACTGATGACGCCGAAGGATGCAGCACGACTTGACGAGGGTGTTAGATATCAGCGTTCGCAGCTGCGGGGCATTAACTAGGTACCTAGGTAGGCACATCGAGGCACGTTCCTGATGCGTTAGCAAGCGGAGAGAACCCAGTTGTTGTGTATGGTCGCAACCAGCTAGATAGTCTGAGTTCGGCGCATCTTCCATAGACACGTGAAGGTTGGTTCGTGGTGTTGAAGTTTGCAACAGCTTCGACGCGCCATCCTGGCGCAAGGGACCTCGGGAGTTGCTGAGTCATCCACATAGCGCAACTTGTCTAGCCTGTTCTCGTCCGGAGCGGCCTTCTCGCTACTCCTTTTTACCCGCATGCCCATCATCTACAAACATTATGCGTCGACGACAGCCAGCCCCTCGCGGGCCAGCAAACACAGATACCACGAAGCAGCGACTGCCCGGTGTCAAATCAACTACCAGCTCAATAGACTGGACTGATAATCTTCGCTATCTACCTCCGTAGTCGCGCCGATATCTGCCGCATGCGCTCAAGATCTCGGGACCGCCCGCCCAGCGGATTCTCCCAGTACGAGACCATCACGCAATTCAAATCGTCAATAGTTCACGATTCACGCTGTAACCTCTTGACTGGATGGTCTCCTTCTCGTTGCGTCTGTTGGGCTGATGCAGTACGGCTCCAGATGCACCGCAGACTGTTCTCTCCGAAAAGTCCACCACTCTGAACAGCGTTTTGCATCATCTACTGCCCTTTACCCTTGATAGTGCTCTATTGCCCAGACTGATTCTTATCTCTCCCCATGTTTACGAGTCTTTCGCAATATACAGACTCTTGGAACCTGCCTGTTCTGTTGTCGCGAACAATGGCATTGATTCTACAAGGCCCGATTTTGCGGAGTGCATTCCGATGTGGAATCTATCCACAAAATACGACGCCGGATCCCGTGTCCATCGCTTCGCGCCCGGTAGTCACGCTCGAATCGGAAAGCGCTGGCCGGAAGAGCAGGGTTGTTTTCCATCCCGTTTCCAAAATTACCCCTGGCGCGACCGTCTTGGCGGGCCATGAGTCGGAAGATTCACATCTACCACTACCGGCATCGCCTCTTATACGAAGTGCATTACGGGAGCTGTGCCCGAACAGGCAGTAGTCAAGAAAAGCGCGATGCTTGGGATTAACGATTAGTCGTATCGTAACCTACGCGACCAAGATGGTGCAAGTCAAAAAGCGCACGTAGTCCAGCAGTAGAAATTGACCTTGATTTCCACACGCCGCACCCACGATCCACAGGCAAAATGCAGTTCTTCACCCGCATCACCGCGCTCGCTGCAGCTGCAGCCCCTTTCCTGGCCCAAGCTGCTCCCGTCGTGGCGCCTCCAGCAAACGAGATCATCCCTGGGAAATACATCGTTCAGCTGAAGCCTGATACCGACGTTGCATCCATCGCAGCCCACCACAACACTGTGCGCAGCATACATGCCCGCAATCTGGCTCGACGAGGTGACAATGGCCCCGTTGGTGCCCCAGTGGACCGCGAGTACGGATTTGGCGACTTCAAAGCCTACGCTGGATCGTTCGATGAGGCGACCGTTGAAGAGCTGAAGGCTCTCCCTGAGGTTCTCACAATTGAACCGGATTTCATCGTGAGGATCAACGCGGTGGTGACTCAAGCGAACGCACCGTGGGGTCTAGCCAGCATCTCTTCCCGCAAGGCAGGAGCCACTTCATACGTGTACGATGACAGTGCAGGCAAAGGCACCTTCTCCTACGTTATGGGTAAGTCAAGAAACTGATGACAACATTGACTTGGTATTGACATTATCTTCAAGACACTGGTGTTCGTATCAGTCATAGCGACTTCGAAGGACGAGCAACTTGGGGCTACAATGCCGTGAGAGGCACCGCCGACGCCGATAACGAAGGCCATGGAACGTAAGTCACACCCTCCAAAACATGCATTCTCACATCCTGACAAGTCCTAGGCATGTAGCTGGAACTGTGGGTGGCGCCAAGTACGGTGTTGCTAAGAAGACCAACATTATCGGCGTCAAGGTTTTGGACAGTGACACTGGAAGCGCATCAGATGTCTTCGCCGGATTTGACTGGACCGTCAACGACATTGTTTCCAAGGGCCGCCAAAACACCGCCGTCATCAACGTCTCGCTTGGCTCTTCCGCGTCAACAACATGGGATGCCGCCATCACTGCAGCATGGAAGAAAGGCGTTCTCGTCGTGACATCAGCAGGAAACGAGGATTCCCCTGCTATCAACAGCTCGCCAGCTCGCTCCCCTGAAGTTATCTGTGTTGGAAACATCGAAATCACCAACAAGAGGCACAGCGGCGGTGGAGGCTCCAACTACGGCGCTGCGGTCGACATCTTTGCTGCTGGAACGAACATCGTATCGGCATCCAACCTGGGCGACACAGAGACGAGGACGCTGACAGGTACCTCCATGGCATCTCCTCATGTAGCGGGCTTGGTCTCGTATCTCCGTGGTCTTGAAGGGCCGTCAACTGCTGCCGATGTCAAGGCGAGGGTGTATGCGCTCGCTACGCCCAACGTCGTGACGGATCCCATGGGCTCGGTCAACCTACTCGCGTTCAATGGTAACAGCAAGTAGTATCCATGTACGAACTGTTGTGAGACATTTGCTGACTTCGCACGTCCATCTTTAGGCAGGGTGACTACCGCTGGAAGCCCGAGCAACGGTACAGATAGCACGAGCGAGGGTACTGGAATCCAGAGCAAGGGTGTTGTAAGCCCAAGCAACGGCACAGCAGTCCCTTGCAACGGCACTGTCGAAGCGCGGAGCTCATGGAAGCTATGGTAGTTCCTGATAGTAGTATTGGAACATTCATCGAGCGAATCAAATCATTAGTATTGCATCTTCGACTGTTCTGATTTCGATCTGCACATCCCATCGACCTAGGTCACAATTCAGTCCATCACTGTTTCTAACTCTGCGCTGACTAACACGCACGTGACTAAGCCCGTTTGCTCTTTCCTGAAGCGCACGCGTCGCACCCCCACCGCCGTCATTTTGAGACGCGAAATCTCTGCCTCGACACCCTTGCTACTACGCACCCAGTCTCACCCATCACCCATCACCCCGGATGTGAGAAATGTCGCGTCCAAGTCAATCCAGTGATACGCGCGACGATATCGAAGCCCGTGAACTTACCGAAGAAGTCGCTACTACCGTCACCGCCTTCAAGACGCGCCTCGATGACGACACTACTATTGTCTCGGCATATTCACAAAGTGTGATAGACCCAGTGAGCAAGGTCAACGAGAACGAGTCTCGACTTCGGCGTGAACGTGATGCTGCTCTTTGCACCGTTGGCGAACAGAAGCGAAAGCTGAATAATCTGTACACCAAAATCGGACAGCTTTGGGAGGAGAACGATGCCCTCAAGGAGAACACTACGACCTCAAAGGACCAAGAGAAGAGTACCGAAGAGCTTTGTGGAGCATGCAGAGTGAAAGACGCCGAGATCGCTCAACTTCACGAACAAATCGACTCTGCAGGTGAGTCATCCGAAGAGAGCAAAGAAATGGGCTCTCGAACCCAGGAGTGTAACCTTGCGTTGAGTATGTAGACTAACGAGTTGTTTACAACAGCAGTAGAAGCCAAGACCGATCCCGACGAGGACACCGCACAGACCGGATTACGTATCGCATATTTCAAAGCAGAGGAAGAGTTGCGGACCAAAGACCTCGCGCACGCCGCGGAGATAGTGAAGATTAAAGAAGAGCATGGCATCCTCGCTACTCGCCTCTACGAGGAAGTGCGTGATGCTCGCACAACCACCAATGAAGAGCACGCAGAGAGACTATGTACGCAGGAACAGCTCTCCAGCATCGCGAAAGAACTCTCCAACACCAAGAAGCAGCTCTTCGACTCGGAAGAGCAGTATCAGATACTCTACGACATCATACCCAAGCCGGGAGGAGGTAGAATGGCAAAGCCGCCGCTGCCAGCCATACCGCTATTCAGTCACAACGGAGAAGTGGAAAGTTCCTCACCTTCGGTACCGCGCGCCTCTAGCCTTGTGCCAACAGATCATTCGCATCGTAGTCACAGCCAAGACAAAGAGGCTTCTTCAACCCCATCACATATCTCCAATGGCTCGAAGTCTAGCCGAGATCAGCACAGTAAGTAGTGCATTTTGCTCGCAAGTTTGACATTGAACAAGCACTAACTTAATGTCCAGCCCTCGAGAGAACCTGCGACGCGACGCGCGCCCCTCCTTCCTCAACTCCGCCGAAGCGGGTTATTGACCAAGTCGACGATGCAGCCTCTCCGGCACCTATCAGTAAGCGAGGCCCAGGCAGACCACGAAAGGTGACGTCTACGCACTACAACCCACGAGCTCATCCGCCCCCGGAATCCGAGACTCCATCTACGATCGTCGTTGATAAGCCTTCGCACAAACTCGACCAAGACCAATTATCGATACAGCGACCAAAGAAGCGGAGAACGCTCGGTTTCGGACCGTATAAACCCAAACTCTCCTCTGCCGATGACATACCTTGGCTGTTCTGTGTCGCGGGCGAAGGCGAAGGCATCAGATATCATACGCTCGACGATTTATCCCCCGAGGCCCAAGCGATAGTCACAGAAAGGTTCCAATACTGGTTCAGTGCCAGCAACAATGCCCAATACAACCCAGCCGATACCTACCACCACAATGATTACGCCAGGATGGTCAAAGAAGGCAACCGGCTAGCGAATGTAGGAGCAGGATGCGTACAAAACATGGTATTTGCAAAAGGCAGACCATCAAAGACTGCAAAGCAGACTGGTGAGCATGAGGCTTGTGGCTCATGTCAGAGCAAGGGCTCCCCGTGTGTCAGGATGATTCTCCACGACGGGAACCCGGTCCTATGCTGGTACCGTCAGGGCTCGGTTATGTCATCAATTACGACGTGGCAAGACGCAGCCTATTGGATAAAGCAAAGATCGTCAACAATCGAGGAGCCCGAACCCGAGCCTCTGCAGTCTACTGATCTAGCAGAACCACCCGTAGTGCCCCATAAGAAATGGTGCAATGTCGAACGTTACGCCCTTTGGCGCTGCATCAACAAGTGGTGCAAAGAACATGGTGTAGACGCGTTCACGCAAGCAAAATTCAACCTGGCTACATGCTCCAATTTTGCGGACCAGATAAAGACAGACTGTGGAGCTCAAGGCAAGGAGTCAGATCGTAGCGCAGAGAGCGTCCGCGCTCAGTTTAGAGGCGCGCTTCGCCCTCTGGACCCCACGGAACCTAACAAGCCGATCACAGAGTTGGCCGACCGTGCAGAGAAACTGAGAGCTAAAATCGAAAGCGGCGACTATGTTTCGGTGGATGAGAGGTATCCGGAAGCAGCCATCAATATTCCAGGGGATGACAAGTCTGACGCTGGGTTGTAAGGTTCTGGGACAGATGAAGACGAAAGGGGTCTTTGGATCAGATGAACTAGATGTCAGATACAATGAAACTCAGCCCTCTTTAGAACCTTTCAAATTGAGTCTAGCCTGCATGCTGTGCTTTCACGTGAATCGCCATTGTCTTCTCTGGCCTATCTACCGCCTAGCTCGGCCATTCTGCAGCTATTCTTCATCCTCAGCCCCTGCATCGTTCTTTGGTATCTTAATGGCCTCCTCCGGAAATCTTACGCCCTGCGGGAAGACTTTGGTTTTGTCGTTGCCGATCTCTTCCCTCATATCCTCTGCACGCTTAGCCAGTTCGCTGATAGGCGGATTATTCCTCCGAACGGCGTCTCTTACCTGACTGCGGACGATATCCCCGGTCCTTTGCTTCACCTGACCCTTCTTTGCGCACTCCGCATTGAGCTGGTCCGCGAAGAGGTTCCAGGTCTGTATGTGCATCCCTTTAGGGTCAAATGCATCGATACCGTTTTTGTGACACCAAGCGTTGATGCTGCGCCAGAGTGCATGACGCTCGACTTCAAGCCATGCGCTCGCCTTCTTTGTGGACATTTTCTCAACGTTCTGTTCGGTACGCTTTTCAGCTTGCTCAGTAGTGGGCGAGGGAAGTTCTGAATGATCTTGTTCAGACTCTTCACTCACACGGTCCGTGAACGAGATGAACGATCTGTCCGCTTCAAGTTGACGCTGAATGTGCTGCCCCAGCAACTTCAACTGCGCGCGCTCTTCATCAGTGGGCGACGGTGGCCAAGGCGCAACGTTGTCCTCAGTTGCTTGAACGAATGACTGTACAACAGTATCCCGGTTGTCAAGAAACCCATTGTCACCAAACGTCTCGGCCAACATCTCTGCGAAAAAGTCCCAGAGATCAGTTTGCGTCTTCCAGGGCTCCGGGTCATCGTTATCCGGGCCGTACTGCTCGCTGATCCTGATGTATTTGTTCAGCGTCGGTATGGTAATGAAAACCTGAGGATAGCTGACACGGTAGCTTGACTCGGTCCTTTCGTTGTTGTACATCTCCACGAGTTTAGACAATAAATTCGGAAAAGCTGCGTTCCGATGATTGATGAACATAGCCTTACGCGTCCCAAAGGCCGGTTCGCGATCGATGATACCCGTGCTGTCTGAGCCTTCGAAAAATGTGGAGAAGCCAACGAAAGCTGCGGTGTCACTGATGCAGACTGGATAAGAGGGATACTGACGTATGGTTTGACACAAGAGCTTGTAGTAGAGTTGAATCCATGCACGCTGATGTGGGTGCCAGTCCGAAGGTGAAGTGGGTGTGATATCGAAGCTGTCGGCCATGATGGTGACTCCGTGTAGGTACCGATCCTAATACCATACTTTTCTCCTTCTTTATACACCAGATTGTTTGTGAGCCTTCGTATCAGGAAGATGATATGATCAGGTCACGCTGTGCTAGATTGATCGCGCGACACCACCTAAGAATTGCTTGTCGCGCAACCACGCTGTCGCCATCTCGGGGGTCGTGGCTGCAGTGGCTGCGTGACCGCTCTTGTAAGCTACCACATTGTTCTGGCGCGTCAAGCACGTCGTCCGCAGCCTCTCCTTCCTCGGTGGGGAGCACAGGGTTTGGAAATGGAAGAATTGCGATCGCGTCTTGCTGCATACACACCATCATATGTTAGTAAAAGCATAGAATATAGAAGGACGTCCACTCCCACTGAGAAGGATAGTCGCAGCATACGATCAAAGTGCTGTTCTCTTCTGGTGACGTTGACGCGTCGACAGTGACGTCATGACGCACTAGCTGCAAACCTCAACCTCACCTTGGCGCCTGGCTTTGTCGTCTTCCATCGTCACATCATCACTTCCTCACATACACTGACCCATCTGACTATAGTCGCACATACGTGCGAACCTCGTGGACGGACACAATCTCTGTAGACAAGCGCCATCCATTCGTATAAGTCTGCGCGCGTCGTGAAGACACTCAGTAAGCACAGCTAGCTCATTTGGATATATATCTTTCATCTTTTCATTGCTATAGTAAAGAACGACGACACAAAGGAAGTGTAGAGCGTCTGTATCTCGCGATGTTACTCACACGCTGTTCAGCCTGCAGCACTACCTTCAGTCACCATCTTCCAGTTCATCGGCGAAAGCCGTTGCCTCGATGTCGCCCCGACGGACATGTACTCCAAGACCACCTACGTTCCGCCCATTCATCGAAATCCGCTGAATACGTCGACACCACCTTCTCCACCCAATGTTCACTCCTTGTCCTCATCACTTGCCCTTACCGGGCTCAAGATCTGTCGCCTTGAACACATCCCGAGGCTTGAGCTCCGCCTCTGTCACCGTCTTCTTCGGATCGGCCTTCCTAGTCCTCAGCGCGTCAGCCCGGTCTTTGATGCGCTTATAAGCATCCTTCTTGTGGACCTGAGTGCGGACACCGTCCATCCCGCGAGGGTCACCTGGATATGTAATCTTGTCTAGGGCCCTATGAGCGTTCACGGCGTCGGTAGCCTCGTAGAAGAGGGCACTGATGTTGTTCGCCCAGTAGATCAGGCCCTTCTCGGCTATGATCTTGTTGAAGAGCGCTATGATGACCTCGCGCTCTGCTTGCGACCAGGCATCGTTCTGCTTGCGGTTCGGTCCATGGCCCTTCTTGGTCTTCGGCTTTGCGGTCTTCTTGGCGGTCTTCTGGACGGCCTTCTTCGCGCGCTTCTTCGGTGATGCTCCGCCCTCGTCCTCTTCTTCATCTTCCGCGTTGTCTTCTTCTCCATCCTCATTCTCCTCTTCACTCTCCTCTTCCACCACTGTGTTGCGCCTAGTGCGTTTGGTACCCGTCTGCGCCTTTTTCGCTTTGTCGGTTACAAAGACTTTTCGACCGGACTGACGGACCGGTGGTGATGCGTTGTCGTCGTCGAGGGCGGCGGTGGGCTTCCTGGCCCTCGTTCTTGTCCGTCGTGTGGTCTCCTCCGTGGCTGGTGCGGCTTCCTCCGCCGGCGAAGCGCTCTCTGTAATCTCGAGGTCGTCATCAGGCGGAGAGCTACGGGTAGAGCCTTCATACATGTCGTCGTCGGAATTCCCCGTAGTGGTGTGATTCTCTTCCGCATCTGAGCTGGTAGGACTATGTCCCAACGACTTCGGGAACCTTGCGCAAACGATCTGGTACAGGAAGTTGAACATCTTGTTGTTCTGTCTCGGGTCTTCGATCGGCAAATCGATGCCAATCTCTTCGCGGATCTCTCGGTACTGGTCGAAGACTTCCTGTTCGATTATCCACATCTTCCCCCTCATGAACTCTCCGGTCTTCATTGCCTTCCGCACCAAGTCATCTGTCTTCCTCAGCGCCCAGTGTACCAGCTCTTGCTGTTTGAGTAGGTACTCTTCTTGGGTCCTCGAAATTGTAGAGGCGTCCTGTTCGGGAGCGGTCTCGGAGGTACCTTGATCTGCAGTCCTAAAGAACCGGCGAAAGACATAGTAGTAGCTCGGGCCTGTTGGAGGGAGTACTGTGCAAATGTCCAGGGTGGCGGCGGCGAGTGCAAAGCCGGCTTGCAGCTCGATGAAAAGGCGCTCGTCGACGCTCCAGGGAGTGCGCGCTGTCTCATCGGGCACGTCTTCAGTTGTTGCGGATGCTTCCCGGGGACCGCTTTCTTTCAAGGACGCCGCATCTTCGATGTTCTGGGGAGTGCGCGCTACTTCATCGGGAACGTCTTGGGTGAGTACGGCTGCGTCCTGGGGTCGGCTTTCTTCTGGAGACGCAGCATCTTCGATGTTGCGGGGAGTGCGCGCCGCTTCATCAGGAACATCTTGAGTGGTTGTAAATGCGTCGTGGAGGCGGCTTTCTTCTGGAGACGCCGCATCTCCAATGCTCAAGGGGGTACTCGCTACTTCATCGGGCACATCTTGAGTGGGCGTGGATGTGTCCTGGGGACGGCTCTCTTCTGCGGCGGGCGCATCTGGTAGGATGATGTCACTCATGATGGCTATGCGAAGAGCTTTGGCGGACGCTTCGTGTTGAAGTAAGGCGCTTAGAATGCGACAAAGGGTTGCGGGTGTTTTTATCGAGTTGATTGTAGGTTGTTGCTAACTTGTAGCAAATAGTTACCGACTACTCACTGTTGTGATGGTCAATGCGCGATGGCCACCTTGAGTTTTCGAGCACGCAACGGATTAGCGCCACCGATTCGTGTCTTTCACTACATCGTTCGGCGTGCGCTGCTGACAGTCGAGCATCAAGTCTGGTCGAGCTCACAGGACACGGGTGATACCAACTTGAAGGAGACAGCAAACTTCAATCATACCTACGACCTACGACCCCTCCGCGTCGCTCTTATACCAATCCACAATCTCTTCATCTCCAACAACCACGGAACCATCATCACCATGCCGTTGCAAATCCCTAACGTTCTCGACAGTCCAGCTCTCAAGCACACCAAACCTCTCCCGCATATCCTCCAACAACAACCGCGCTCGTCTCGTCGCAGGACTCTCCGAGCACTCTCTATACGACTGCGCGAACAGGTCGCCGTCATCGTCACTATCGTCATCATCGCTATCACCAGGATGACCAACACCTTCGCCTTCTCCGTCACTATCAAGGTTGGAAGCCCAAGGATTCCCCAACGAACCCGGGTTGACGTTACCTGACCTTGAGAAGTTGGCATTCGAGTTCACACAGCCCTCATCCTCATCCCCAGAAATCTCCTCCACAATCCCTCTATCAACATGTCTCTGCGCCCTCGTCATCCTAACACTACCCATATCTTCAAGCCGGGTCTTAAACTTGTTCCGCGTCATGTAGCGGGGCGGTAATAAGATGCGGTTACCGGCTGAGTCCTCCGCGGGATACTCGTTACGCACGTCGCTCATTTCGAAATGGCCGATCCATTTCCCGTGGCGGTCGCGGCCGGCTACTTCGCCGGTTGTTGAGAGGCGGTCGTGGATGAAGATTTCTTCTTGCTCCACGCGGTATTCTTTTTGGTAGCGGGGGGTTGGGTCGAGTTTCTTGACGCGGGTTCCGGATGCATCGAGTTTGTAAGGGGTGGGTTTGCGGTTTGGCTGGCCTGCGGCGTTGTTGTCGTTGTTGTTGTTGTCGTTGGAGTCGGGATTGGTGTCTGCGACTTTTTCGTATTGGAAATCTCGTTGGATGAGGGTTACAGACTTTCTAGACCCCCAGTTGGGTGAGTCGAAGGAGGTAGGCCAGTTGAAGCTCGTTTCTGTGCTTCCGTGGTGTGGGACGTGGTCTGCTGGTAGTAATGCCAGAGTGAGCGGGTTATCGCTGAATCCAGAGTCCTTATCCGTCTTGTTCTTCTTGCGTTCATAGGCCCTTTTGTTAATATCCCATGTAATATCCATCATACGACCCTTCCTCTCAAGCTCTTTATCCTTCTGCCGCTTAACTTCCGGGCGATACTCTTCTTCTACTTCATTCATATCGATTACCTGTCTTCTCCTCCTTGGAAAGCGCTCCTCGAGGTGTTTGTATCGCCTTTTGAAGCGTGGGAGATTCTGAGGTGTAGTTCCGCGCGGTGGCTGACTGTATCGATGCGCAACGTCAGGTTCAATAACAGCAGGCGCACGTTTACGATACGCTAGTTTAAACCTCTTGTAAAGACGAATCATATGGTTCCGCCATGCCATGTACGGTTCGTAAAACGCGCTTTCCCTATCATTGCTCATCGCTTTGATCACCAGTTGACCTGGAGTTCCATTGCTGGGCTTGCGTTTGTCAGGCCCATCTGCTTTCAGAGGTAGGACCTCATCTTCGCTGTCATCGTTGCCAGTCTTCGCTGCTTTCCTGAGTTTGTTTCTGGCTTTGATTGCGAGTTTCTCCGCGTCGGTCTCCGCGTAATCTTTGTCCGGGTTGAGAAATCTTCTATTCCAGACATTCTGATAATAGAGATAGTCTTCCCATGAGGCCTGCGCATACCTATGTTCGATGAATTTTCTCCACGTTTGGTGCGGTCCATGGACCTTAGTGCTGGCGGCTTTTGCAGGTTTGCGTTTCTTGACTAATAACTCTCTATTCTCTTTGGCGATCGCGTCTCCGCGCTCATCGAACGCGATGGGTGCTATCAGGTCTTCCCACTTTTGCTTTGATGCCTTGTTGTGTTTGTTAATAGCCTCTCTCGTCGTCGCGTCTTGAGCGGCTAGTGTGGAATGTGTAAGCCATGCCAGCAAAGCTTCTCTCGTCTTCGTCAACCATTCATCGAAGTGCGCTTGGGTCACGGGCTCGGGTGGCCAGTTCTCGATTAACGTTGGGTTGCTGAGGCCATCAGGAGCTCGTGGTCGCTGGTCGGTCATGTCAATTGGAGTGTTGTAGTGTGATGTGACGTTGTCTGGTGGATATGCCAGCAATTTGCCGAGTCCAGCGCTTCGAGTATTCGTCGGCAATGCGCATCTTTACATGCGTCGCGCTGGCTCTTTGTTCTTTATCTTCACAGTGTTACGCATGCAGCGCCAGTTCTACGCGGGTGTTTTGTTGCAACAAAGGGAACATTGGTCTCATGAAATACGGAGTGTCGACAAAGAACAAGATATGTCAGCTAGATTCTGGAGGCACAGTCATGCAATAGAGCCGTTAGAATTTACTTTGGGTACTACACACTTCTCAAGCTATCCTCAAAACCCCTTGTGGTGTCGTGTCATAGCCGTAACTTCTACCGTCGATACCATCCTCCAGTCGTCTCATCCGCTCCTTCCTCAAAGCTCCTCATCATCATCCTCTGACTCATCCTCGTCATCGACCGACTCATCGCCTGTAGACTCAGAGTCATCCATGACATTCCTCTGCTGCAGTTGACCCTTCTTGGGACGAAATTTCCTCTCGATCAGGGCGTCCTTCTTCTTGATCGCAGCGTCGCGGGACTCAGCTAGCACAAGCTCATCCTCCGGTAGCTGTTTCTTCGTGACGAGATCTTTCAAGTCGCCCGTGTATCCAACGGGCGGGATATCTGCGGTGTTGAGCAACCCAGTAACTGCTGCTGCACCTTTTTCGCGAGCGTGTCCCTCATGCCAATCCTCAAACTCACGTCGAGCAGCCTTCTTCTTCACAAAAGGGTCCTCTTGCAAGTCGCTGTTGAAGGCCTCGTGGTCGAAGTCATACTTTTCGTTCCTCTTGATGCGTTTATCGAGATCCTCAATCGCTTGATGGTTCCAGGTATTGTCGACTGAGCCTGCGGGTTTGGAAGCTCGTTGTAGTTCGAGTGCTTCTTCGTCTGACTTGGGCATGGCCGACCACTTCCAGCCCGCAGCTTTGTCGGCTGCGAAAACTTCTGGCGGGTCGGGTATGACTGCCGTCTCAGCGGGCTTGACCCATCGCGGCTTTCCCTTTGGCTCGGGCGCTTCGGGCACTTCGGTCGTTTCGGGCGTTTCCGTAGTCTTTCGTGCATCCGTCATCGTTTTCTTGGCGGGGCTCGTCTTCTTGGTGCTTTTCTCTGGGGGAGGTGGCGGAGAAGAACGGGTGCTTGACCTGCCCGAGGTGGCCTTACTAGTACTTCGCGTGTTTGGTGCGGGATTGCTGGTTGTAGGCTTGGTTGTCGTGGGCTTGGTTGTTGTAGGTTTAGTTGTTGTAGACTTGGTTGTCGTAGGCTTCGTGGTTGGACGTTTGCTTCCTGGAAATTTGCTGGCTGTGCTGGGTTTAAGCTTAAGCTTTACTATCAGACGCTTAGCTTGTTGTTCGCGCTCAAAGATCTCCATGCTTTCAAGTTCTTCGTCCGTGTCAGGTGGTGTGGTAAGAGTAGAACCATCGGAGATATTACCGTCGTCTTCTTCCTCAGCTTGATCTTCATCCTCTCCTTCAGCTTCATCCTCAGCTTGATCTTCATCATCATCTTCTTCTTCATTGACCTCGTCATCAGCCGCAGCAGGAGCAGGATCGACAGCCGACTCCCGCTCTCCTTTGATATACTGCGCGATTTCGTCGTCGGTGATGTCAGGCATCCATGTATCCTCCTTCTTGCTCTTCTTAAGCTTAGGTTTCAGCGCGCCCATGCGATCTCGCAGGCCACGGAGCGTAGTACCAGCACGGTTGAGGTACGAATTCAGCCCACCCGGGGGCCTGGTACCGAGACCCTCCTCTATAGGTTTGCCGCTCTTGTCCCGAATATCGGTCCGGTCCTCAAAGTAGTCGTTGAAAGCCTTGTAGATGACTTCGTTGTGTGGCGCCACAAAGGTATCCGTCTTGCCAGTAGCAGCTTCCAGGAGCTTTTCGTGGAACAGCTCGAGATAGGCGGTCTCGAACGGAGTCCATGGCGTGTGGGTGACCTTGGGAGGGAACTTCATGTTCTGGACGAAGATTTGGTTGCGCCACTTGTTGATGTCCCTAATGTGGTCCTTGGAGTTCCAGTCGATATCAGTCGCTTCCCTCCTTTCGTATGTAAAGACTCGATCTTTCTCGTTCCTGTCATGTCGATGGTGGAACGTGAGTGTCAGTCGATTTGATTGGTCCTTACCGACGACGAGCGTCGAGCGTTCGTCGCCGTCTAAGATCTCCCATTCGAAGTTGGCGTCTTCGTCTGGGGCCTTGACTGCTTTCGATCCGGGATGCGCCGGCTTCCTCGGCTTCTTGCCGGTGCTGGTTGCGGGTGGTGTCTCACTACCGGTCTTGTTGCGCGGGGATGTGCGCGTAGGAGTGCCGCCGGTCTTGGCTTTCTTCGCGGGCTTTGGTGGAGTTACTGCGTCGCCCTTACGTTTTGGAGGCATCGCGGCGGTACTGAGTGGTGGATTGTTACAGTTGATGATCTGAGCAGCGGGTATGAACTTGGAAACCAACGGATGGGAAGCGGGGTATAAAGCCAATGGAGAATCGGCCAGAGTGACTGAGAAGCCTAACTTCTTGCTGTGGGCCTTTCACGATTCGTCATTAGACCTTTGTGAAAGGTGTGAAGAACAGTGTAGAGTTCCAAAGATGGCCAAAGCTTCTATCCGAAAAGAACGACATAGTGAAGGGATTCGGATATCAACCATTGTGTAATTCCAATCACTGTTTCGGCCTAGCGATGGTTCTTGTTGGACGTTGATATATCGAGAGGTGAATATAGCGCTTTGTGGTTTTCTGCATGGTGTATATATATCTGGGTTCTAATGATAAACCGCTGAAGAATGCAAGGTTATGACAACTCTGCGCGGTACACATCTTTTATCTTTACTGTGATGAGGGGGATTTGCGAAGAGCATCAGCTTGCGGTATCAGTCGGTTGTAACCATGCTCACGTGGACCTATTTGAAGATTGTTCTTAGCAAAGTGCAAGACAGCAGGAGCAGAACCACACACTCACAGGTTCCTGTACGCCTACCTTCGCGCGATCCTGGTATGCTTCACTCAAAAGGCAGAAAATGTCGTTGAGGGGTCACTCATCTTGCGGCATGGTGGCCGAAATCAAACCTTTGGCAGCACATTCCTCCCTCATTGTATGGAACATGAACAAAACAAATAGGAATGCAAGAATGAAATTATCGCATATCGTCGTTGTCAAATCGAGATCCACCGTGTCCAGTCGCTGTAGCCGCTAGATAACATGGGTGTAATATTCTTCCAGCACATACCTAGGTATGGAAGGTTTCGATCACGGTAGTGGGTGACGGAGATAACTGTAGACGAGCATCAGCGGAGAATACCACTGATCGTCGCGATCCAGAACTCAGAACTACGCGAGTACATCTAGTTCGGCGCGAACAACGGCAAAGATGGGCAGTTCGTGTGGAGCAACTGTGCCGTAGCAAGAGGCGGTCTGCAGGGGCACTCGAGTAGTTTCTTGTTAATCCCTGGAGGTGTTGAGGTACTATTACCACCCGTCCCGGTTAAGCGACGCCAAGCACGACGGAGGAAGCTGCCGACTCAAGAGGGCATGGGAGGAGCGCAATCGCTCGATGCGGACGGAGGGGGTTGGAGGGAGGGAGGTCTTGGTGAGGAGGATGCGGAGTGTCGGCGGCGGTGATTGGCTCCGGCGCCGAAATTAGCGTGGGCGCGCATGTTTACGTCGCGTGTCCCTCGTGCACGCCATTTGCGCGTGCATGGCTGTGACAGCTGCCAGTGGCATCAAGGGCTCGATCCATAGGAAAGGCGGAGGTGAGGTCGGTGTAGGTGGGATGCGGGGCCTGGGGCAGCAGCTGGTCCCGCCGTAAATTAAGCAGCAAAGGCGAGTGTGGACCCTGACCAAGAGGGCTAGCCGGCTGCGGGCCTAGTCCAGGGCCTCCTTGATGCTCCTTTCGAAGGCCGTTGGGGAAATCATTCCCTCTTTTGCGGTCCGTCGCGCTCTTTTCGTGCTGCCGTGAGCTGTGTTGCGCCGTCGCTCTGACTTTCTTCTGTTGCATGAATGCCGCCTGCAGAGTAATACCCAGAGAGTCACAGCGTGCACGACTCAAGCCGGCGCCAGCATACTAATTCCACTCAAGTGAAACACGCTCTACACCAGCACCACCGAACCGAGCGCCACAGGTAAACAGGTCTGTTCTTTCTACCTGCCGCGGCGGAGAGCAAATTTCCGCTCCGTCATATCGAACCACCGTGAAGACAGCAGACATGTCCAGCGGAAGCACCACCATGGAGGTGAAAGAAGAAGCCGTCGAGCGCGCGCCCAGGTCACACGTGGACAGCTCGCCGCTGCCGACAGACTCGATGGTCACAGTGCCCCTCTCCGAGACGGACGGTAGAACCCCAGAGGAAGAGGAAGGCGCGAGGGAATCGGTGATGCGGCCAGAGATTATAGTTGAGGAGCGAAGAGCATCATCACGAACCAACTCAACGGAAATCCGCAATGCCTTCGGACGCCGCGCGAGCCAATCGAGCGTCGACACACCCGCCCCGACCAGCCCTACCATCTCAGTGCGGGACACCGACGCACCCGTCTCCCCCAAGACAGCAGCGCCAGACAGCAGGGGGCGCCGTACTAGCAATGGCTCGGGAAAAAGCGAAGAGGTCGACTGGGCTGAGCTAGAGAAAAAGGAAGAACAGGAGCCCGAGGGCGAGGAGGAGGTGTGTAGCGCGGCCCCTGTGTGAACAACGAATGCTAACATATCTAGGCCATGGCCCTGCTGCTCGCCCGACTAGAGCAGGAGAACGAAGCCATCCTCTCAAACTCAAAGTCCAACATGAAGGTCGCCCGCGCCCGCAGCCAGTCCCGGCCCCCCTCCTTCAACCAGCTCAAGCGCCTCGTGGCGGATGACACCGCCACTATGCGCTTCTCCCAGCTGCCCTCGCCGCCCCCCATGACCGAACTCGAGTTCTGGGCTGCCCTCGTACGCGACTACCCGCAGACCGTCCACAGACTGCCCACGCTCTGCTTGAATAAGATTCGGGGAGGCATACCAGCGCCGCTGCGGGGCGTCGTCTGGCAGAGTGCAGCTGGCTCGAGGGAGAAGCTGATCGAGGACCAATACGACTCGCTGTGCGGAGAGTCGAGCCCGTACGAGAACATCATCAACAAGGACTTGGGACGCAGTTTCCCCGGTGTCGAGATGTTCAAGGACCCTGAAGGCGAGGGGCAGAAGATGCTCGGCCGCGTGCTCAAGTGCTTCAGCTTGTACGACCACAAGATTGGCTACTGCCAGGGTCTTGGTTTCCTCGTAGGCCCGCTGCTCATGCAGATGGGCGACAAGGAAGCCTTTTGCGTGCTCGTGAGGTACGTCATCGCACTTCCCTCACAACGTCAGCGACTAACAACGCCAGGCTCATGGAAGACTACGATCTGCGCTCGTGTTTCCTGCCGGACCTCTCTGGCCTCCATCTCCGCATCTTCCAGTTCCAGAAGCTGCTCCACCAACATATGCCACAGCTAGCCCAACATCTCGACGATTTAGAAGTGCAATCCGCATATCTATCGCAATGGTTCCTGTCTTTCTTCGCTGTCACATGTCCGCTACCCATGTTGTTTCGCATCTACGACGTGCTATTTGCCGAGGGCGCATCCGAGACGATCATGCGGGTAGCCCTCGCGCTAATGAAGCGCAACGAGCAAAAGCTGCTGTCCCTGAGTGAGTTCGAGGACGTAATGCAGTTGCTTTTGGGGCGCCAACTCTGGGACCCATACGGGCGGAACGCGGGGTCGGCGGATGAATTGGTCGGTGATTTTGTTGGTTTCACAAACGACGTGACGCGCGAAAGGTTGCAGGGATTGGAGCAGCAGTACAAGGAGGCCCAGGAGAAGGATTCGTCCAAGCAGCAAGTCCAGAAATCTGCCACGAGCTTCCTGGGCCGTCTGTGGGGGCCCTCCAACTCTTCGACCAAGTCCGTTTCACTCAGCCCGGGTCTCTCCGCGCCTTCACGCCCTGTTAGCTTCCTCAGGCGCTCGGCGTCCAAGCAGAGTCTCGCCTCGACACTCAACTCTACTGCCGAATCCGATGCTTCTGCTGCGACACAAAGTACAGCCATGACGGATATCTCGCGCGCCTCGAATGGCGACGCGCTGTCGATGAAGTCAGGCCACGGCTCCATGGCCATGGGCGCATCGTCCAAAGACCGAGACCTACACTATCAGATCGAGCAACTCCTCATGTCGGTAAGCCAACTGCAACGCCAAAACAGCGAACTCGAAGCCGCCCTCCAAAAGCAGCGCGAAGACCGCAAAGAAGACCACCGCATCGTCCGCACCGTCGTCGACAAAGTCCGCAAAAAGACCACCACCCTCGCCGCACCCTCAACCCGTTCCTCCCGCCGCCGCACAACAATTACCTCCGCAACCACCCTTCCCCCTTCCTCCTCTGACGACGCCGCCTCCACCCCCGAACTCACAGAAGAAGCCTCTGAAATCGTCGAAACGCTCGAAAGCCGGTTTCCTGCCGCCACACTGCACCACCGCGCCTCCTCCATGTTCGAAACAAAAGCCCTCCTCCGCGACAACTTGTCCCGCACAAAAGAGCAACTCGCCAACGAGACCCTGCGCGCCAACGCCCTGGCCCGCGATCTCTCAGACCGCGACGCAGAATTGCAAATCGCACGTGACGCGCTGAAGGATACGCGGCATAGGTTGCAAGATAGCTACAACGCAAACCAGCGCCTCGAGAAGTCCATCCAAGAACTGCGCCAAAACGCGCGGAAGCAGTCTGCAGCTGCGAGTTGGACGGGCGTGGATCATAGTAGCCATGGGAATGCGCCGGATACACCGCCCACACTATCGCGTTCTACAACGAGTGATTCTATCAACACGAGTGGGTTAAGGGAATTGAGACTCGGCAGGACGAATAGCCAGAAGAGTGAGAGAGGGGGGTATTACAATAATTACAACACGACTGCGCCGCCGGTCCCCTTTTCTAAGAGGAGTAGTAGTCTGGCTACGCAGAGTGTGCTTGCGACTGAGAACAACACACCCGCCGACTCCGAAGCTCTGTTACTCGAGTTGGTTAACGCTAAAACGGCGGAGGCGGTGGCGAGACAGGAGCTTGAGGAGATGAGGAGTAGGTTTGAGGGGATGAAGCGCGTTATGAGTAGTGGCAATGGGGCGAATGGAGGAGGGTTCAGTGGGAATGGGAGTCCGATGGGAGGAAGCCCATTCGCGACGCCCACGCAGACGCCTGCTGTGACGCCTAGTCCTGTTCCGAAGGAAGCCGCTGCGGGTAGTGGTGGGGGATGGGGATGGGGAGGGTGGAAGAGGACGGTTAGTAGTAATGCTGCGGGGGGCTCTTAGGGCCTGTTTAGCGATTATCGTATTTAATATAACGCTAAGAATATAACATTATATAACCTATTATATGCCTGCGTTTAGTAA